GTGGAAGTGGCAGTGGTAGTAGCTGTAGTGTTAGTGGTAGTGTTAGTGGTAGTGGTAGTGGTAGTAGCTGTAGTAGTGGTAGTGGCAGTGGCAGTGGTAGTAGCTGTAGTAGTGGTAGTGGCAGTGGTAGTTGCTGTAGTGGTGGTAGTGGCAGTTGTGGTGGTAGTGGCAGTGGCAGCTGTAGTAGCTGTAGTGTTAGTGATTGTGGTAGTAGCTGTAGTAGTGGTAGTGGTAGTGATAGTAGCTGTAGTGGTGGTGCTAGTAGCTGTAGTAGTGGCAGTGGTTAGTAGCTGTAGTAGTGGTTGGTAGTGGCAGTGAGTTGCTGTGCAAGGGGTCTGAGAAGGGGTCTATTGGGTAATTCCACCCACGTGTAAGGTCGTCTTTGCTGGTGACGTCACACTCATCAAACTGTGCCCGCCCTGAACCGTATTTTGACTCCAACTGTTGCTGGGCTTTTTGTCCTTCTTGCTTGCTTATATCAAGCATCCTTACCTAAAAGGATGAATAGAAAGGATAAAATTATTACATTTGGAGTCAAATTCAAATAAAGCTGTTCTGCTAGCTCGCTACCTTGTCAATATTATAGTAACGTCATTGACCGTCGGATGACCCCTTCTGGTGATTTTTTCCTGATTTATTTGTAGCTCAGTGTTTATAGTTTTGGCTGAGATCCAATATAGTCGGCTCTTTTGCCGGTATTGGTTTATTTGCGTTTGAAAAAAAAAAAGAAAAGATGAGGTGACGGTTTTGGCAGCCATCTTGTCCGGTAGGCATATAGTAGTGTCGCAAAATAACAAGGAATGACCGGGAAATCGATGTCAAATTATTCCCACTGAATTCAAATTCGGAAAGAGTTATCAATAGCATATACTTGATCTAGAGAGCGAGTAAACTCATTTTTAGTTCTCAATACATTTCTTTGTAATTTCCGGGGTCATCGGCGCGTGACGCGCGTGAAAATTACAAASAAATGTATTGAGGACTAAAAATAAATTTTCTCGCTCTCTAGATGAAGTACATCCTTCAAGTTTGGCCAGGTAACTCCTTTTTGTAGTATCTAACGTTTGCAATTAATAATTATTTCCGAATTTGAATTCACCGAGAATTATTTGACATCGATTTCCTGGTCATTCCTTGTTATTTTGCGACACTATGCCTACTAAGATGGCTAAGCCCAAGATGGCTTCCAAAACCGTCACCTCATCTATTAGAAAGGAGCAGTTATGTCGAGCGATTCATGAGCAATAGCTTATTTTTAACATTTTTTCAGGGTGGTAAATGGTTAAAGCGTGATTCGTGAAATTACGGCCCTGCCTGTGAGCCTTGATTAACAAATTTTAGCTATCGTGAATTGATAATAGTCAACTTTAGATATTTTGGTTCGATGACTATGTACAAAAGAACGCACACGAGGCTCCGGGGAAACAATGGATAATCTTGATTTATTCTTTTATTTCCCCGGAGCCTCGTCTGCAATTCTTTTGTGCATGGTCACTGAACCAAAATATCTAAAGTCGACTATTGATCACGAAAAAGTGCCGAATTTTGTTCGGGACTTCCGGGTGCTTCCCATTTAGCAGGCTAGTAACGAGGTATATTGTTTTGCTGTTAATCCGGATCAAAAGGCTAAAAACGTGATCCCGATCCCAAAACTCCGTACATTTTGATCCCTGATCCCCTAACAGAATCGCTTAAAAAAATCATTGATCCCGATCCCAGTTGACTAAAACCTTTGATCCCAGGTTAATTACATTTGATCCTGAKCCTGAGCCTAAATCCTGATCCCTGATCCCAAAATAGCCCAAAAACTGACGCTGATCCCTGATCCCAATACCTCGTTACTAGCCTGATTTAGACAGAACTGGCCGGCCAGTCCACTCTATTTGTGTCAACATTTTTCAGTCGTTTCGAGGTTTTCTGTTGAATATAATGGTACAATTTGAAAATTTGAATTTCCTAACTAAATTGGAATGATATATAATGACATTTTCTCTGGGTCTGGCCAGCCAGTTCTGACAAATGGAAAGCGCACTCCGACGTTCGCGCCGAATTACATTTTGACCTCGCTGTCGTACACTTCCCTGCTGAGTCTCTAATCTCTCGGTTGCTCGACGGAAACGAGACTCACACGGCCATACAATGGCCTACAGTCGAAGTTTTCGTTTCAAGGATATCAAACAGTTCCATACTCTCCTCTCTGATTCATATTATGATATGAATACTTTCTTTCAATGAGCTTTATTTTCCTTGCTTGGTTTGGATTTAGTATTTGCTAGATTGTTATTCGTGACGGGTCGATGATCAGTTTGACAGAAGGTCGAAGCGTATTTACCTAGTATTAGCAAGACATTGTGGTGAGCCACTTACCCCTTTTAATAACCATAATAATAGCCACGGACGACTAAAAAACCGTCAAATAACCCTCTTGGAAATATCTGTTAATTTGACTTACTTTGAATAATCATACGAGCCATATTGAGTTATTAATACCATGAAACATACACATCACAATATTTGAATTACTGTAACGTATCAAGGTTACTTTGCTGATTGCATTAAATGACGTCGATGAATGTGAAATTCTCTCAGTAATATGCAAATACGCTTCTAAAATGTAGACTGTCAGAACAGTCATGCTATTTGAGTTTTTAGTACGCCAGTTTGAAGCCAGTCAAACAAACAAAAACAGTGCTTACCGATGCAGCGCCATGTTCAAGAAGCGCTTCACTAAAGGCATAACCAATACCTTTTGCTGCCCCTGTTACTAGTGCTACAGCACCCTTAATCTGCATGATAAACCTGATAAACAACGACTGCGTTTAAAATATTTTCTGAACTCTGCTGAGTGGTGGCGAGCTGTGATAAACTAAAACTACCAGAATGCTTTGCTTTCTTTCGTATTGTGCCATCGATAATTATCACTAATTGTTTTCCAATTCACCCAGGAATTTGCTTTGTCTCATGGCAAACACACTGCAATGTAAAAATGCTGCTCTCTTCAAAAAGCCAAGGGTGGACAGTTTCATTTCTCTTTACCAGTTTTGAAGAAATGGTGTGCGTGAATAAAATAATCATAAWATCAATAAAATACAACAAACACAATGAAGATGCTGTCAAATGTTCTGTCAAAGTCTTTCGGACCTTTCGAGGTTTCAGCTGAGAGTTTGGTTTGTATCAACAAGTATTTGCTTGAAGCCGCGAAATACCGTAAGGCCTTAATTGAAAAAGTCAGCAAACKCCAAATTTTTACTATATGTCAAGTCTAAAGACCTATGAAAATATGATTGAAATTTTATCACCAAATGAGTGCAATTCTTCGGGGGGAAAATAAAAAATATGAAATAGAATCAATACTAGTTGCCCAAGCTGGATATTTCGATCAAAATTAATACCTTTGTTTATTTCAAGTCATTTAAATCACAACTATCAGAGCTTAGGCGAGAGCAAATGAAATACAGTGCTATCTGTTCTGCCTGCAATATACCAKTTGAGTCAATATTTATTTGGCGATCATTTATTCCGAGATGCTATGAAGCYGTTTTCTTCTATAACAGTCCCCGGACCTTCTATTTAGTGGTTCATCTTTTTAAATCGATCTGTTGCTCGATAACGATAGCCCGTGCACACAAACTCAACCTGGCATTATTGACATGTCCTGTCAATCACGCTGTGGCGTCGCGATCTCGTGACAGTGGGGCAAAATGGAGGAAACTTCTTATTTTTTGAATAAACCAACTCCTGCTGAACCTRAACTCCAAAAATAGTCTTATTGTATCTGTATACAAATATATGTACTAGCGAAGGTGGAAAACCAGTCGTCATAATGAGTAGCATTTAGATTTAATTGATCATTTATCAACTATCATTTYAATATTTCCATTTACGGATTTTGTGAACCCGAAGAGGTGGTGGCTTGTCASCCTGACCACCCCGGCCTTTGACCGTTTATAACCATGAAAATGTTGCATGTTTGACAATAAGTTCCTTCTTGGCTATATTCGCATTAACAAATCGATARCAAAGCCTACATGTATATATAGACCTTTAATTCAATTGTTATAGGTTTCTTCCGGTCATCGATCGACCAATAATTCCATTTCCACATATGGCAWTATTATTTGAATAAACAACACAGTTTATCCTAAGGATTAACAGAGACGCCACATCCTGAAGCTTTTCTTGGATTGCAAATTCTTGCTCTAATTCACAAATGCAATGTGCCAAATAAACTCATCAAGTGCGAGAGCTATAATGGCATTCATTCTTTGCTGATTTTGATTGAAGRCCATGCCGTGTAGTTCCCAAATGTGTTTCTATACGTTATTATCACTGAAATGTAAACTTGAGACTCATGTTAAATGCAATATCTTTTGGTATATTTATGTTCCTCTCCAGATTTGCTTTTGGGCTGGTTTTCATTTARATTATACCACAGCTATTTTCCCTCAGAAGAGATATAACACTCAACGCAGAATGTGGGCGATCCCCAGTATAGCAGTCCGAAGATATCCACTTCAATCAGCTCGATTTGCCTGTACCAGGTTCTTGTCTAAGGTGCCTAAGTGCCCCCACGCACCACAATAAGTACCACTGACACCTTAAAGGCCCGAAGGCATCTCTTCACCACGAACGCCAGGTCTTTTTATTTTCCACTTAATCTTGCTCAGTCTTTGAGACATTTTGATCGGCGGGTTATTTTAATCAATGCCCATTCTTTTTTGTTTTTGTTTTTTTCGCATGTGATATTTGGTCTGTTGTGAGCGMCCTTCACAGCCGTGAGTCAGGCCTAAATTGCCGTCTCTTCCTCTGCGTCTTGCCTTTGTATCTTTATATTACAAATACAATCCTTTCACGTTTCAAGGAAGGCAATGCGTGGAATGGCTGCCTAATGGTCAGTGCCGTTTTCGCTTGTTTAAAAACATTTCAGGTTGCTGTTCACCTTCGCTGTTAGAGCGACGTTTAAAAATTCCACGTGACAGGCCATGAAACGGAATAACGCCTTGATTTTGCGATTGAAGATCAATGTTTGCCTTTTGATTGTTTCTCGAGCCTTTATCATGATTGCCGAAAAGTTTTCTTGTGAATCCATAAATTGGAAGAAATGGAGAGGATTGTTTCTCAGTCTTTTCTCTGTCCTTTGTACTGTCGAATGTACTTGCACGGGCATCKGCTTTGCATACATGTGAAGACGAAATATTATCTTCTCGAGTAACAATACACTCATTGCGTTCCAATTCATTCTTAGTAGGTGTCCCAGACTTCTGGATTGCTTTTGGCTCTTCCTCTTTTTTACCTTGAGTGTCTTTGGGAGGGCTCAGCGTCGTACAAGAAGTTTCCTGGAAATCAGTTTCTTCATCATTTCTTACATGATCACTTATCATTCTTTTGCTTCGTGAATTCTGTCCGTTGTCAAGCACTGTGGGAAAATGAAGCTATTTTGAGATCTTACTTTWACGATATAATATGGAAGGGAAAAATACCAAGAAGCGACCCGCTCTTGGCCATACATGCATTCTATATGGATCATCGCCAAGCTTCGAGGTATTTCTCTCTATATATCTTCACAATCTAACGTCAAAACTGAGTCATAAAGTTTTCATACTTTTAAAATGGAATTTTCGAAATGCACACTCGTCGGCTGCTGGTCAAAAAGCAGCACACTCAATACAAATAAAAACCCTTAGTCTTAGTGAGCCCTAGTTGTAGTTGGATTTTGAGAGTTGTTAGCGCCTACCAAACTATTGGCTGTCAYAAATCCAGCATTCCGATGGCTACTGAACTATTCGTAACTGCGAATTTTTATCAATAAAAACATTTTTTTCTGCAACATTATTGATGCCTGGTTTCGGACATGTCTTAACGTGGAATATACATAATGGAAATTTGTAGATTGAGAAGAAGGCGACCCTTGGAAATAAATCGTTTTCTGTGCGGACTGGGACTACAGCGGTCATGAACAAATTATTAGGAACTTTTCACTGAGGGATTTATTACATTTTTGGATTATTATAGAGGTACATTTCTTTGTTTTCCAGTTTAAATACTGTGTTTTAATATTTTTGTTTCTCTATATGATATCTTTTTTAATTTTCTTTGTTCTTTGAACACTTGAGGCTAGAAATTTGAAAACTGAAGAAGTGAATTGCTAGTAACTTACCTGACATATTTGGTAAGATTTCTAACTGTTCGCTTGTATTGTTAGGAGATTTGTCATCTGTATCTCTTGAAGTGTGTATTTCATCATCTGTAAGTGTTAAATGGTTATTTTCTTTACATTTCAAAGATTCACAACACTGTGCTGCTGCCTCCACTGATTGGCTTTCATGACTAGAGATTGGCAATCCATCTTGAGCTATGGTTAAACTATCACCTTGGTTCTTGGCAGTCTCATAACTACCTTCAGAAGGTGCTGAAGGCATAAGAGGGGCAGGCAGAGAAGGCATTACATTTGAAGTTTCACATTTTTTCTTCAAACATGTAGTACTAATGTTACTTTTCTGTCTTGTGACCTCTTGGGAAGTGTGAAATACACCAACACTTAAAGATTTCCTTAGTTTGTGATGAAGATCAAGGGATTTTGGGACCAATATATCAACATAATGAAGGTGTCCATCAATAATATTAATATAAATATTATTGTGTGCATTCTCCAGTAATTCTCTCTCCAATTCAGCCATGTCCTGTCCACCCGAAAACAAGAATGTGTTGCATTGATCAATCAATTCAGCTGCGAACAATGGTTCTTCTACAAGTTTAATGATGGTTGAATGATCTCCTTGCAAGTACACCTGCAAAACCATGAACATCAACTTTCGAAAAAGTTCATCATCTGTGATCCAGTGTGGACAAGACCAATATATGTAAGGCAATTTATGACCAGACAAATCCTTCTTCTCAGTGAAAGTTGCATTTGAAGTTGAAAATCGGATAACCCAAGAACCTGGAGCAACTGTATAAAATAGAAGGAAAAGTCAAGTTAGAACAATCATTTAACATTTGACAATCATCTAAAAATGCCCAATTATTAAAAAGAAAAGAGCTATGGATGCTTCTAGCCAAAATGAAGCGCAACGAAGCAATGCATGCATAGGAGAGGCACTATGTTAATGGTTGAAAATTGAGGTGGGAATATTATAACAAGTATCAATGGTCTAAGTGATGATGAAGTCAAGACCATGTCAGCAGAAGACCTTCAGAAGGCAGATGATGAAGAATGCATTTTGAGTGGCTGAGGAAATTAGAGTGAAGATTGACAGTGAGCCAGTACCAAATGGCTTTCTTACTGCTTTTGTATCAGAAAAGCCTGGCAAAGAATTCTTCTACAACAAGGAATATTTGGCAAAGTAGCAGCACAGCCAGCCCGAGATCAAGTACCTGGACATCATGTAAAAAAAAAGTAAAAAAGAGAAAAAGTACGCTGAGAAGTTGCACTATGAGAAGGGAGAATTGTACATGGAATTCCTTAAAGACGATAAAAACATCAACAATTAAGTGTGACTGGTTTAAAGAGCATGAGTGGATTGACATTAAACCAAGCAAGAGAACACCTTGTCACCTGAGAAATGCCATTTTGTTGAGGCCCATATAGTTAAACTCATATATAGTGAAAAGATAATTCAAAATACTAGTAATTCTGTTGTCCTGTAATTAATGAAGATGCTAAGAGTGATGACCATGAAAATGACTTCAGTGAAGAAGAAATTCTTTATGAATTTGGAGATAACGAAGAGGAATGTATTGAGTCTGAAGATGAGTCAGTTATTGAGTCGGCTATGAATCACATACAACATTTAATTGTTTAAGCCCCGTCTACACAAGCAATTTTTATGTGGCAACTATATGTATCAATTTTTATTGTCCGTGTGGACAGGCAGCAAATAATAAGTTGAAGATTCGCGCCAAGTGTGATTTTGCACGGCGGAGATGCCAATAAACAAAGCAAAGTTGGTTGGTTTTAGCTCTTACAACAACAATAATACCATTCTCTCTGTCAAACCGGCCGTTCTGCTTACTATCGGCGTGGCCATCTTGGTTGGTGTGCAAAATGTYGAGACTGGGATTTAGTGTAACGTCAAAAWAATTGCCACATTTTATGTGACGCTCGTCCACACTGGCAATTTTCACATAAAAACTAGCATACCAGCTTTCCAGCAACTACAGTTGTCACATAAAAAAATTGGCCAATTTTGCTCATCTACACGGGCAATTAAAAGTTGTCACATAAAAATTGCCACATAAAAATTGCTTGTGTAGACGGGGCTTTAGGTAGAAGAGTCAGTTATTGGAAGACACGATTTCTCAATTGAAAAGCACAAAGAAATAAGTTATTAAGCTTACAACCACACAAAATAAGGTCATTCAGTGATCTATAAAATTCTTCTATTTTTTCATGTATTTTTTCATGTATATTTAGGGTAGGGGTCAACATAAATTACACAATTTCAGTCGGGGCTTGGCCAAAGTTTATCTTAAGCTAATATGCTGCAGCTAAAGAGGGGTTGAATTTTTTTCACACACTTATTCCATGATTCCTCCGGCCCCCTCCCCCTTGAAAAATGATAGAGGTCCTCAACAGCAGCTCTAAAAGTTTGTACCTGAATGTCCAGAATATACTTGAGAAACGTGTTTTCTTTTAGTTGACAAATTCCCCATGATATTGGATTAATTACAGTTATCAAGAGTACACGCAACAGGCAGCCCATTCGGAGGGTCGGTCTGACGACCGCTGACCTCTGACTTTTTTCTTCAGATTTTTAATTTCATGAAATAACGACAGAAACTCTCGTTTTTCACACAGATTTAACTCAGGCTATGAGGCTATGAATATTCTGAAAACAATGCTAAACCTCACTAATTTGAGGACACTATCGTGATGGTCTTAACGTTAGCGGTTGAACCACAGGGAACCCAATCTCTAAATCCTGGGAATTTCATAAGGCTTCTTTTGGAAATAATTCACTGGCGCTATAGCTTTGTGAAAAATAAAAAGGAATATCTTATAACTTCGTTTAATAGTTTATTGCTATTTTCTTGAACTTTGTAACGATTTCAGGCTAATTTGATGCATTTTAGCCGCGTCCTCAAGGGTATTTCCGTCTTTCTGTGGTTGGGGTCGTTGGGTGGTTAAATCGAATTTCGGGAATCCTATGGATTACCTGGTCACCAAGCCACAGCCATCATTATCATCGAATTCTACTAGATCAGTCATGTCATAGAATAAGTTGTATTGTTAATTGTCAATACATCGTCATGAAATACCACATATCGGCGAAGGCTTACACAAAGATGCTGCTACACGCTGCCAAATACCCTCACAAAGCCGTGAATGGAGTATTACTTGGCGAAGAATCGATTCAAGACAGTGAAGTTTATGCACAGGATGCAATTCCTTTGTTTCATCAATGCCTTGGACTTGCGCCCATGTTAGAGGTAGCTCTCAATCAAGTACGTATAACAGCTTTAATCTTTATTTTACATTATTTAAATAATGGAGGAGTTGAATTGAGTGCATAATTATTATTATTGAGACGCCATCTTGACAAGTAGGCAAAGTCTTGCATTCACGTTTTACTCTACTTCCAAGAAAGAAATGTTGATATTGCAAATGTTACATGTAGATAATCAAAAAGAGGTCTACTGGGCATTGGTGAAGGGCGTAGTTGATCTAGGGAGCTAGTTAACTCATTTTTAGTTTATGTTCTAGTTTATGTCATGTTTAGTTTATTTTCTCACAACCTATACCACTGATAAAAAGTTGATTTTTAACTTTGAACTCATGATTTTTGAGTATTAAGTAACCCTCCTAAAGATTGAGGAGTGTATCATCCCCAAAACCATCGGTAATTTCTGCTTGATTAGTTTTATAGCATGTGCTAACCACTTCAATAATCAAATAGATGCTAACGAACCAGGGCAGTCTGAAAATCAGGCTAATAATCCAAATGAACTCATTAATGTTCACAATATCTGTGAACATTAAAGAGTCTGTGTTCTCATTTACTTTTAATATATAGCCATTTTTTATTGTTATTTCCAGGTGGATTCTTATTGCAAAGCCAGTGGGTTGCAAATAGTTGGATATTTTCAAGCCAATGAACATATTGATAATAACAGGTCTGTGCAGGAAATTATCGTTAATAAAAAATGTTAAAATAGATTGGATGTTGCAAACAATGTACAGTACAAGGTTTTGAACATTTTCTTATCAAATTTGTAAATTTGCTTTTAGCCCTGATGGCATCGCTTATAAAATTGGTGAAAAGATTACTGATCATTGCGCCAATGGTTGTCTACTAATGGTAAGTACTCCATGTCTGATATTTTTCATGTATCATCTTGTTCTTACTATTCATGTACATGTATTGTCCATGACATGTTTCAATATTATCCTAGATTGATAATACCAAGTTGTCAGTGAGTTGTGATGATGTTGCAATTAAGGTATTTTATAAGTTATTTGATAATGCTTTACTTTAAACATACTCATTTGCCATAATCATAATATATCTCTCTCTTTCGAGACTTTGTGAAGTTATTATCTTTTTATCTAAAAATAGATAAAAAAGGGGGTTTCCATATTGTGGATTGTGCTACAGTCTTTTTCAAAAGTTTTCATGAAACACTGTCTCATGATTGCATGTTTAAAAATCTAAGATTCAATAACCTGTAAGACTTTGTTATACATGTAGTTAGGCATTTCAATGTCCCATGTAAAAGGATTGTAGATTGTAATACACAGGGTTTTACTGTATTAGCAGGGATTCATACAAAATAACAAAAACACACTAAATTGAAAAATTCAAAATGTGTTGCTCCTTACCGCTAAAAGAAAATGTAAAGAATCATACTAAAGCAAAAAAATCCTGCAAATACTTCAGATTATAATAATTTTCTTGATTAGACTGCCATGCATTATTCTTATGTATTATTTGTTCTAGTGTTATATTGTCCAAGACAACAAATGGAAGCTTATTGATAAAGACTTGTAAGTTGATAAACGTGAATAGAAGTTAACTAATAGTGCCTGAGATTATGTCATAGTCATGGATCGTGGATCAGGGGTTAGGAAACCCACAAGCTCTACCTTCCTGCTTACATATCAGAATCGAAATTCAATAAAATGCTTTGACAGTAATACATTTTGGCATAGATTCACTGCATAAAATATGCTCTCATTTGCATCACATTTCTGAGGTTCAAAATGTCAAAAATCCACCCCACACACCTTTCAAAACCCACACACACCCTCCCTCCCTCTCTTTGGCCCCGTGGAAATACTGATCTCTTTAATCATAAACGTTTTTTCCAGGAGTGTAGCTGGAGGTGATGACACACTAAATTTGACTTCAGATCTAATAGAGGGAAAAGCATACCAAAGCCTTGTGGATTTTGATAATCATCTTGATGATATGTCATTGGATTGGCTCAACCATGATATCAACAGACTAGCAGATTTAACTGGTTGACAATTTATTGTACCTTTTGACATTAAAAATAAACAAAAACATAAAACACAAAAAATTATGGTTTGCAAGCACTATGCTAGATTTGCCAATCAAAAAAGGATGAAACAATAGATGGGCATGCAGAGATATGGATTTTATCTTTGACTTTTGAAAAGATCTTCCACCTCTCTTGAAAAGAGATTGTCAACAGGAGATGATGTTCATTTTCTCAAACCTTCCACATACATACATGTATGTATGTAATATTCTCTATCATGTAATTATTCTTGAAAGCAAATTTTGCTATATTYTTGTTGGTTTTATTTACTGTACGGGGACCTTCCGACAAATAGGTTATGGTCCTTGTGTCTTGAATAGGGCGTATACAAGCTTATACAACTGACCTTCAGTGGTCTTAAATAGGGGCGTAATTTCTTATGTTTTCATGTCTTATACATGGTGTCAATATTTACCTAGTAGACTATACAGTCAAAATAAAGAAAACAATACACCATATTGACATCTGTTGCGGAACATTATCTGGTTTATGTCTTCAGTAGGGTCTATATTTGACCTTGTAGCTCAGCAGGTAGAGCATCCGAGGGTTGTGGAAACATTTTGATCCTTGTGTTTCGCTTTGCGTTTAAGCCTTCAGGCTTGCGTTCGTTCGGTTTTCACGGTGTTTATGTGCATTGAGCACTTGAGCTTGGCATTGGGTTTAGGTTTAAGTCGTAATGAAAACCAGGCTTAAGTCCTTAAGCGCAAGAGAAGGGAACATTTTGATCCTTGTGTTTCGGTTTGCGTTTAAGTTTGTGCTTGCGTTGGATCGGTTTTCACGGTGTTTATGAGCCTTGAGCACTTGCGCTTAGCATTGGGCTTATGTTTAAGTCTTAGTGAAAACCATGATAGCAAGCACATTGGTAATTATCACATTCGTTCTTTTTTGAGCGACTTTAATTTTAATCGATGCTCTCACTTCAGAGTAGTCTCCTTCGCAGCCTCACAAAATAAGGGGAGCCTTCGCAGGAGATTAACCGAGAGTAGATATCGAAAAATGGTATTACATTAAACAAGTATTTAAACCACTCGTGCGACGAGTGCGAAAATGAAATTGAAATCAAAGACACTTCTACTAATATGCTTGTCGTGTATTTTTTTCGAATTTTTTTTGCGCACGCCTTAATTCAGTTTGCGAATTCACTCTGATTTCATACTCTTACTTCAAAAAACGATGTCGGGGAGAACGGCGAACGGCGATTGTGGAAGGGAAATTGCACGACCGAAAGGGACTATGGTTACACTGTTTTGAAAAATTGGATTCACCTGGCGTAGAAATGGAGACTAAATGGAGCCCATATGTTTACCACAGATCATCTTACAGTACAAATGAGTTTTTATTGCCTTTCAACTAGCAAAACCCATGTCTACTTTCGGTCGTGCAATCGACGTTCGACCATTGACATTCGCTATTTTATCCGACAACCTTTTTTGAAACAGCTACAAAATCCAAGTGAAAATCGCAGCGATGTGTACAAGTTTCGAGTATATATAATGGGCTGCGGTAAACCTGTAAGTTGTCGCCACGAATTTGCAGCCCGTTTACAGGAGCGATTTGATTTGGTTTTGCGACTTTTGTCAATTTAAGCTTTGATTTTTATACATGTAACGTTGAATATAAGCTCAAAAGGAAACTAAAATTACCGTGACATGTCTAGGTATGCGCCGATTTCGATTGGTCAAGCGAGCGTACAAAATCGCATTGTGTTGTTGGCTTTGGAAAAATTCAACGACAAAAAATAAATCATAGTGATTGAGTTTCTTGTTTTACTAACTTGCCAAGTTATCTACAAAATATGATGAAATTATTACAAACGAAGTTCATCCGTCAGTAATCGCACCATCAAATTGGAGCGCAAATATATTTTTTGACTATGTTCGCTTAGCAACCAGTCTAACATCAACAGAACATTCAAGTTCACTAACCAGTAAATGCTGGATTGTGATTGGCCCATGGTTTGGGCTAATGTCAGTTAAAATTCCTACAACTGTGTTCCAATAAAAATGTACTACTCCGAAAATAAAAATTTGTAATAACACTCCTTGATTTTCTGCACAAGCATCTACAAAATCATTTTGCGCGTTTGCTTCTTGACCGTGATAGTTGGTCCTTGTGGACTGCCAATTGAAGAAATTCTAGCCGCTAATTTATACCATAAACTTATCAATATATAGGGTTGTTAAACAATGATTAATCGTTAATTTGTCACAAAACTTCAGAATATGCTTGAATAATGTGTAGTAACCATAACTTAAAAGTATTTGAGAAAAGAGCGAAAATAGCATACATTATTAATAGCCATAATGCACCGGAGATCAGTGGAATAGGTCAGCGGTCAGAATTTCTGCTAATGACTATTATATATATATTTAATAGAAAAGATATAATCCTTTGGATCTATTCCCTAGAATGGTTTTCATTAACCCGTGAATAAAGTGCAGTAGTCAAACTATATAAGTGTTATAAGCCAGTACAGAGACAACGCACAACATACAAAAGTGTAATTCACGGGTAAATGGAAACCATTCTATCACATTCCATTAGGGACTGCGCAATATTTATCAGAGGGGGGTTGAGAATCCAGAGGGGACATAGACTTCAGAGTTGGAGGTGGCAACCTCCAGTTTAATCAGTGAAGGAGAAATAGGTTGACACCAAACTTTGAAACTGAACGCAAAACTCAACAAATAATTCGGGACCCAAAATCTCCCCATTCACTACAGCTCTTTGAGACCCCCTCCTTATTGAGCAGTCCCTTATCTGAACAGTGCGTTTAATATAATGAAAACGGGAGAAAAATAACTAGTGTTTCTCTGGAAAAAAAGGTGCGCTTGGCTGTGGTCTGTCGTTGGCACTATATGGAGGTGGGGGCCCTTGAGCGGGTGCTCCGGCATAAGGCGGGTACTGGGTAAAATGTCCCTGTGCACCACTAGATGGGAATGGAGGAGGTTGACATAAGCCTTGTTGACTTTGAACAAACACAATCTTTCTTTGGAAGAAAAAAAGCACTTTGTATGTAATGGTTCCAAGTCCTACGTTAGTTACTTCTGGTGTTTCGAGCATACATGCCAATTCCCATCCTCTACGGCCCATCTCAGAGATCATTGGGGCCCAGTCTCCTTTAGCTTTTGTCTGGAAAAATCCAATCTAGAAAAAATTAGAACGGCAGTTGCCGTTAGTACCATATACCAGCCACAAATACCACCTAATACCAGCCACCTGTTTGCAGCAGTGATTTCGTTGGGTTCTATAAATGAGCATTTTCCGTAAACTTTTTTTTTGCGGGTTTTGAATTGCAAGAATTTTTAAAAATCGCTAAATTCGCGACGTTAATCACTCGCGAAAATTAGAACTAATAAGGTAAATCAGTGTCCATCGTGATGTGCCTGCACATGATAAAGCAAATTTTCCCTTATATCAACAAAAAAAGTTGCACTCAATTTCTGAAACACAGGAGGAAGAAATCTTTTCACGTATAGCACAACTATGTAGTGACGTCAGATTGTAACTGCGATATGTGCAATGGAGAAGTGTACATCTCTAGTACTACCAAAAATATCCATATTTCAACGAAGGGACGTTTTATGGTGTGTAAAGTTCGATTTTGAAATGCCTGGATTGATTAAACACCTCAAGCAATATTTAAAATATTTTGGGATATTTTGAGTTTTCACTGGAAAAAATCGCGCGCTTTGAAGGTTGTAAATTTGATGTAAATATGATGTAAGTGTCCAAAATTCTGTAAATTTAATGGAAATCATTTACATCAAATTTACAGAATTGTGGACACTTACATCACATTTACATCAAATTTACAACCTTCAAAGCGCGCGATTTTTTCCAGTGTTTAGGGGAAATGGTTTTAGGGTGTACCTTGACAGTGTGCTTGTATTCAATGATAGTCCCATGGTACACTGGGGTAGGATCATTTAATCTTGCTTTCTCCTTTTCAAAGAACCACACTGAATTGTGATCTCCACTGAATGTAAAATCTGAAAGAAAATATTTCTGTCTAGTTATGTATCCCATTAGGATCATTAGTCCCTCACAGATGCATGAATTTCGGCTACAAAATGTGCTCTGTTCCATATCAAGAGCTTTTATTTTGTCAAGTTCTCTATAGACCAGGCGAGAGCCACCTGATAAACTCACGCTGCTCAAATGCACGATCGAAAGGCGACCCTAACCCCTGGGAGTACCTTATCTAATACCATCTAAAGCTGTCAGTTGTCGATTGCAGTCGAAAGCGATCTAAATGCCTCATCTTTCATTTGCCATCTAACAGAATAAATGCAGAATGGTAGGATTGGGCGCTAATTTCTATCCCTACTTCACCCCAAACAATCCATTCCTAGTTGTACTGATAAAGTAAAATTCCTTGAATAACGACACTGCTGCCTCATTGTAACTCATGCCTACAGTACATGGACCGGAATGTATGCGATGTTTAGCGTTGATTTGATGTTGTTAAACCATAGTTGAGCTCTCACCTAGTGAATGTAACGGTTCAAGAGCGTTGTCCCATTCTGTCTTATTTCTCAATACGCTGGGAGGCACGCCAGATTAAAATATGCTACTGGTTCAAAAGCGGAAGGATACTGCAAATGACTCCGCACCATTAAGGGTACTACGGCGAGTGAAATTTGTCTCTTTTTTAACTCGCTCGCTCCGCATCAAAAATGTCCCTATAGGTCTGATTATCACTTTATAGTTGAATTATCAACACTTTTGATGGTAAATCACTGAGATCACTGTTTTAATATTGGCTGATGTTGGCCATCGCGACATCAGATTAAAGTCCCGAAAACACCATATATGGAGTGAGTGTTTTTGCCCCTGGGCATCCCATAATTTCTTCAAATTTCGCATTAGTAAAAATGTCTAATATTTCATACCTCCATGACTTCGTTTTCCCTGATCCCAAAAAATTTCTGCAAGTCTCCAGCCTTGTTGTAGATAGACATTGAAATGTTTCATCCAGTCACACGAGACTTTTACTAACTGACCAGGGCCAAACATCATGACTTTAACAGGGACATTAACCAGTTGATATGTATATAAAATAGGATTCTCATGCATTGGCATGTTGAAAAATACATCACAACCAGTTTCTGAGAAAAAGAAATAGTTATATCAAATATTGCTGTTATTTAATATCATTTTTTTAAATTAACCCACTAGAGGCCTAATATCGTGAGGAGATGGGCGTGGCAGTGATGAAATTTCACCTCTAATGCCCGATTCAGACGTCGAATTGGAGGAGTTGAGTTTATGAGCATTTTGCGCTCTGAATTTATTGACATTAGTAGATTTTGTTCAGTTGGACAAACTTAATATAATCTGTAATATCAATCGATGTAGACTGCAAACTTTTCGAGAACTGCATGTAGGCAATTAGATTAGATGCCATAAAAGATCGATGTCTGAAACGGGCCTAAGAGGGACCATGATTATAACCCGTCATGTTGTTTTTGTTTTCTTGATTTCATTTGTACTTTGACGTAACAACAAACACGGTTTGCTCAGACGAGTATATGATATATGCCAGCAAGTGCCATCTTATAAGGAACCACAAAACTTGGTAGGAATATGATCACCCTAAGCGGGACCACAACGCTGATTAAAGCTATTAATCTATAGGTGCATCCAGTAGCATCATATGGATTAACGATCTCGAGAGTGATAAAACAGTAAAAACATATCAACAAAACACCAAAACCACCTACCATCACTTCCTCCAAGCAAATTCTTTGTCATTCCTGAAGTCCTTTTTTGTCCAGTGTGTTCAATGCAAACAATACGTCCTCCCCTTCCGGCTTGTTGGGCTATCTACATAACACAATTGATTATTGACAGTTTAGGTTCCGTGCAAAAATTCCCTTAAACATGAAATAACTTACAACGCCTTGCTTTCCTTGCTTTTGACAGAAACTTAAAATACGCCTCAAAATTAGAAAATATGTGTAGGCTAACTTGGAAAACTTGAAACTAAGGATATTAATAGCCAGTAATCTACATTGCAATATAACAAATGCATACTAGAAATGCTACAGCAGTAACCTATAGATGTTTATTTACAAACAGTGAAGTCAAAACTAAAATGATATAAAATAAAATAAGTGAGTAATATGTATTTCAATAATCCAGGGCTATCCCAAGTTTTTATTCTTGCAAGCATTGTGTTAAAACATTTCTTTGTTATCTATTATTTTAATGTATGATCATTTTAAAATTTGCATAATACTTACAGCAGCTAGAATTTCTGATTTGTTTGCAACTTCATGACTCCTTCCACTCATCTGGTCCATAATCCCAGCATGCTCTGATGTACGTATGCTTGACTTCACTACCAATAGCTGCCACGAATGCTGAACTTGTATCCTTAAAGTAAATTTACATATTAATAATGGATGTACATGTTCCATTAATTCAAGTTTGAAAGAATATGTTTAAATATAACCTTCGAAATCACTTGAGGATCAATAAGTCTGTTGATCGATAAACTTAGGCTGACAAATAATCCATCAATAACCTGGAATGTACAAGATGTACAGTGTTTCTTATGTTTCCAGTAGAGACATCCAGGACTACTATTAACCAAATTCTTATTTCAGCCTTACTATTTGACTACATCAGTCCCATTAGTATTGTAATTATAAAGGAAGGCGTGGATGTTTGTATTAATTGTGTACTACATGAGTTCTATTCGAAGGAGGTGTCATCAAAGATGGTACTATCATCGCGGTCAGCGCTGCCATGGAGTTTGAAAAGAACTGTGCTGACTCAAGAAGTGTTAAGAGTAATACTTAATTGTAGCCCAGATTTACCGTGGCACCGTGTAGTGGAGCATGTCAACCATATGGTGAGAAGGATGCAATATGCAGGATACGGCCAGAGGTTTAGATACAGCGTTGTGATGTCAGCCCTCTCTGCCTATAACAAGATTAAGGCAAACGATGTACACGGTGAAAGACCTATGTACCGCCCCAAGGAGTTTAGGAAGATAGAGAGAAGAAAGGAGAAGGAACAGAAGAAGAGAACGTGGTACAAGAAAGGTGGAAATGATAGTGTTATTTTTGTCCCAGCCACTCCTGGATCAGTACTTAAAAGACGCTTAGACAACGGCATCAGTAACTCAGGAATCAAGATCAAACTGGTTGAAAGATCGGGACAAAGTATCAAACAAATTCTCCAGAGGTCAGACCCCTTCAAGAAGAAAGAGTGTAACAGAGTGGACTGCTTTGTATGTAGTACGGGAGGTCAAGGCCCATGTAGTGCTTTTGGAGTAACTTATGACATAACGTGTAGTGAATGCGGCCAGAAATATGTTGGGGAGACATCCCGTAGTGCGTATTCTAGAGGAAAGGAACACCTAAGGGACTTTGATCGCGAAAACAACAACCAGTCTGTGTTAAAAAACACTGCAAAGACGTGCATCAAGGCAATAAAGCTAATTTCAGGATGAAGGTCACGGGGGTTTACGGCAATGATGCGATGATGAGTCAAATAGCGGAATCCGTTAGGATAAAGAAGGACGGTGTTATTAACACTAAAAATGAATGGAACACTTTTAGTTTGCCACGGGCGATAGTTGARTAGTCTATGTTTTGTTGCGCACTCTTCTAGAAGAACGTTAGCGCGCGCTATCGGTGAGCGTGCAATGCATATTTTAAATAACGCATACAACGGATGTTATATTAGAAAAGTCTTGTAACTGAGGAGGTTTTGCAATAAAACGAAACTAGTTTTACAGACAATACAAGCTGATCGTGCGTCAASACCGAAAAACTCAAGCCTTAACATACTTGAGGAAATCAAGATGAAATTAATATCAAAGTCTTGCGAGGCCAAAATACTAAATATATCGAAGGATTTCTATTGTGTTTTCCTCATTAAATATTCATGAGTTTTACAACTTTTTTTTTTACTATTTTAAGCAGTTTAAAGTACATGTTCTTACCCAAGTGGTCTACTAAATATGGCCTGAAAAGGACTTTCACTCGAATTCCATCCAATTTTTCCAATACCAGGAACATTGTTGAAATCCACCAATAGAAATCCTTGGCTGTATGGTGAGCTTAATTCACCATATTTGGAAGTGATATCAGATGATACAACTGTCTTAGTTCCAGTCAAACCTCTAGTGCCTGGTATACAAGCAAAGAGATAAATACTGTATAATAATTATTATACATACCATTCTAATACATGTATATATCATGGCCCCTATTATTCATCAGTATTTGCACTGTTTTTAAAAATGTTGCCCTGTATACTGCTTACTTGGAGTCAGTGAAAATTATAGAGCAAAATTAGAATATCACTTAATAGAAAAATTGTGCATACCATAATGCAAATTGTATGCATTAAAATTAAAATCAAAATTAAAATTGTTACTATATTAGAACTACATTTTTTCTCTCCATGTTTAATTATTAATAACTAGACTTCAAAATGTCATGATCGCAACATTGCATTCATCTCAAGCAAGAAACTACACTCTAACTCTTTTATCAACTATAATTTATTTCACCAAAATATAAAAACCATGCTCAATTACTCACTTTCTCCAACAGTCAACACCTCAATAGTATTAAAACAGTATTCATATCGCAGTCCTGCATAAAGGTAGGGATCTACAGGAAGAGGAGTGTGGTTCTTGTCTGAATATGTACCAGAATCAGGTCTTGAACTGTTTCCTGTTTCTTCACCAGCAATGAAATTTCCAACTTTTTTTCTAAAAATATATAGTTTTGATAGAGTATAAACACACATTAACCGAAAAATGAAATCAAAACTGTTACTAATAAATAATCGCTATTCAGTGACTAATAGTTGTACTGCTGAAAATACAACACGCAAAGAGAAATACAGAAGGCTCTTAGCAATTCACTAGTATATTCTTTTCTTTTATTAGGGTAATCTAAAACTAACACATTCTTCTTCACATTTCTCATCTGTCAAAGCTAGAAATTTGTATCAGAGAAATCCATGCCCCATACATTGAGGGACCATGCAATCCAAAATATATCACATGGAGTCAATGTACCCTGAAAGGTTTTATTTCTGTCTCTGTGTAAGGGAGAGGTTATTTGAAAAGCATTTTATTGAGAGCTCAGTGTACAAACATGGTCTTTAAAAATCATCCATTGCCACAAGTTTGCAATAATGCAATTTTTAGTTAGATCAGCATTACCATGGCAACAATCAAAGTTGTTTAACAGCATGTTATTATTAATTGCTGAGAGCAAAGCAGAACACAGTGTTGATTCAAGGATGTCCCTAACAGAACACACGGTACACACGATCAGTGGTTCAAGTTCATACCGTGTTGGGAGTCGATTCAAAGATGTCCCTAACAGAACACGCCATACACAAGGTCAGCGGTTCAAGTCCAATTCTCCCTTGAGTTTGTACGAGTTTTGCTTGTGTTTGAATTGCGTTATATTTTTATACTTTTTAGATGTCAAGGTCAAGTTTATTTATTAGTGGAAGTATTCATCAAGATCATGAACGTTTTAATGTCGTTTCAAGGGGAAGGAAGTGTTTTTTTATGTTTTCATAGTCTTGCAATTGCAGATTGGAATTCGCAAAACATGTAGCTTGAAAAAAACGTAATTCCTGCAGAATTTTGTGTTACGTGACAAGTTGCATCACACCACTGCAATGCTGTTGTGACCTTACATCTGTTATACATTGTGAAAATGAAATAGGTACTCACGGCACTCACTTTCTACTAGAAATAACTAGTAATAAATATTATTGGAGGGGTATTAAATAGCGCAGCATTATCAAACACTGCACACCAAAAAGACTGGTCATGGGAGTTTGCAGGATTGGTCATTATTTTTGCAATTATATTAAAGAATCATAACCACCCGCCGTACCTTGCGAACCGAAGCGCCATTTTAGGTGGACAAGAAAATGGCGGATTTGTAGGATTTCTTAAAGTGAGTGCCAATCGTCTTCCGTCCTTACAGTTTGGACAGAAATACCTTTAACCTTTAAGTACCTCACAGGTACTATCAATCTATAATTTATTGTATGCTTGACGCATTTAACGTATGTAAACAATAATGCGAACGCGCAAGGTACGACGGGTGGTTATGATTCTTTAAGTGATCTAAGTTTATAAAACCTGCATGCAATACATGTAAAAGTTGAGGTGACAGTTTTGGTGGCCATTTTGGACGAGAAGGCAAAGTGTCGCAAAATAGCAAGTTTAGGATAGACCTAGTCTTTTTGGTGCATCAAAAGTGCCATATAATTTATACTGGACAGGTATTCCTGTCACGTCAATTTGCATAAGTGACACAAGAATATCTGAGAGGTGAAATAGACTGCCAGCTTTGATCTACCATGAGTGATCGTTAATAAGTATAAATTAGCTTAGGCAATCCCTTTTTGTGGTTCAAGGAATCGAAACTTGATGTGCTGTCAATCAACTGCGATGGTTGAATCGGGTTATCTATCGAATAAATCCTTATCCAGCCGATAAAATCTATACAAAGATAATATTGGAACCTTTTTTATCCTGCATTCCACCTTTTGTACATAAGGTCCTGCGGAAATCATTATTATTATTCTGTTTTCGCTACAATCTGATAACTTACATATTATTTATACTATAGTACCTTAGAGAGCTTAGATTCATGTTTGTATTCTGAACATGGAAGGTAGTTTCAATTTTGAGAGCTGATTCACCAAACTATTCCAATTTCAATCATGCGAAATTCTACCAAATATCGACGATATTCTCCTGTCAAAACGTTTCACACTCTGCTGATATGCGCATGTATACTTCCGTTCCAATCTTGAGCCCAGAGTCTTTAAGTCTAATGTCAGCGGTATTTTGACACCTCAAATAAAATAACCTTCAAAAACGTTTGATTTCCGTGGTTTGTTTTTATCATATTCATTTTCGATTGAAGATTGGTAAGTTGCCGAAAATTTCACGCCATTTTTGTCGACGACCCTTTTTTGAAAATTGCTGGATTCGTCCATCAATTCCAGCGCAAATTATGCAAATATAAGGTCAATTTATTCATAATAACTGGGAATTAAATTTCTACAATAAATTCTCCTGACCTCGCCTGTATTCCCATGTATCATCCCATTGTATTCCCTACACTCCCCTGTTTTCTAGTGTATTTATCTAATTACTCTAAGGATAATTTCACTGAAACTGTTGAAAGCAAAAAGACAACACTACGTGTGTGCACACAGATTAACCAATCAGAGCATTCATTAGATTTGCAACATCGCTGTACTTTACTTAATGACAGTCTAGACCAATCCAATAGGATGTATTATATCTGCGCAACATATAAATAACGTAATCTCATGACAAATCTTATAATTGCTTCATGTTGAGATTCAAGATGATGCACAACTTATGAGACACACTCACTGCTAGTGATTCAGTTTTATTTATTTTTTATTCATTGCATTTTAGATTCATATGATTAACATTGTATTTGTTCAATTGATTATATAATATTGGGATAAATTTGATTCTGTGTATAAAACAATATACATTACATAATGTACAATTACAGAAATGGGAGAGTATTTCTATAGTCTAACAATCAATTTAATCTGACTCCCTATACAGGTTTGGCTTAGTGCAAATCACAAAGCCATGGTTGGGAGAACAATTTCAGGAATGTATACTTGAGAAACAAAACTAGCTGATACGTACAAAAATAAATGAATGAGCTTTGTACTTAAATGATGGTTAATCATCCTCATGCTTGTTCAAAGAACAAACATTCCCCAAAGTGGTGTTTGTGATTGACACTGGTACCCCATAATACTTAATCACATAATTCTATTTCTTACAATATAGGCTTAGTCATTATACTCCAGGACTAGTGCAAGCAAGTGACTAGTGTAGTCACCTTTTTCTATGATACCATTTTAAATGTGAATGATTTTATGAATAATTTGGAGATCTTTCATCTTTTATATGTGAAAAAAAAAACATACAAATTGGAGGTCCCATCCTAATGAAACTTTAGCTAACCAATAAGCAGAATATATTAATACTTTTTTAGACATTAAATCACTAGGATAAGGAAAACTTGTATAAAATCTGAGCAGAATGTATGACTGATACCATGACAATTATTTGATTCTATGAAATATGCAGCAATCATAAAGGTCAGTCTAAAAGTGAGTCTCTATTGTTGCTGCATACTGAATATGATAAACTCTTTACCAGATGCCTTACAAAATTAGAAACACCTTTTTACTCACAAACAAGAGCTTCTTATTGGTCTAGTGAAATATTGATAAACAAAACAGATGTTAGAATGTTTTTGCCACATAGAGAGAAATGCTGAACTACAGTGATCCAATCACATTGTTCTTCATAGAGATACATGTCATGTTTTTCATTTAAGTGTAAATTTACATTGTCATTATAAAAACTAAGAAAATTGTTTGAAAAGCATTGAATGGAGGAATCAAGGAACACTGATCACAGATATTTTCTTTTATGCTCACTGTATCTTGACGCCTCGGTTCAATGCTTTGTTCATGGTCACTGAACCTGAGTATGGAAAGTCGTGTATTGCAGTGAATTTGAGGAYCAATTCCACATGTTTATAACAACAGTGAAAATTGAAATTCTGCTTTCAATACATATGGTTGGATGGTTGATAATRTGTATGTAATTAGGTGTTTTCAAATTCATTCAGGCTGCACCCAGACATTCCCTTCTGGATTTCTCTGGCCCAAACTTGGAGTGTGGTGGAATGCAGGTTATTTACCAAGTTCTAATTTTCTTTTAAAAATGCAAAGAGAGAAAGTGAACATGCAYCTTCTGGTCACAGCAGTACAATTAAATTACAATTAGTAATAGTTGTTTTACTAAGTGATGCTCATCCATGCTGGAAACTAGATGAACACCAACTTAGTCACAAATATATTCTATAGTCTTATCATGGAATATTCAGCATGCAATAGAGTGGTTCTCATAAACACGTGAAACAAATAGTAATAAAAAGTGTACTTTTCACTGGTTTTAAAAACCACCCTAAAAATCTTTCCTGTAATAGTTTTGAGTTGAAGCATTAAAAACATGGCATTAAATGATGCTTTACACGTCGCCTTCAATGTGACTAACAGTCATAGTGCAGTAGTAGCAGCTTCTGATAAGATTTAGAATTCCAGCAATAAAAGCTCCAATCCAAACAACATAGATTCCTGAAATTAGAAATAACTGAAAGCATGAATACTTGAAAACTGACAATAAAACAAAAATTATATAATCAACATGGTAAATATAATAGCCAACCTAAGATCACATTTTGAACAAAACCACTGACAACATAACCACCATCAACTTACAACATACCCATCACTCAAAACACAACCACAACTCACAACATACCAATCACTCACTTACAATATACCCACCACTCACTTACAATATACCCACCACTCACTTACAATATACCCACCACTCACTTACAATATACCCAACACCACATGTAACTAAAAACATACCCACTAACTATTTGTGTACTGAAAGTGGCCTTTTATTATGACGGCATGAGAGCAACCAAATGAAACAACGATAGGAAGCTAAAGTATAAGCTATAGTAAGCTATTAAACTTGTTACATAAAGGACTGGCATTTACCTGAAGACTGCTTTGCCAATTCAAAAGTTCCAATAGTAACACCAGCTCCTGCAGCAAGCAGAAGAAGTCCAACTACAGCAAATACTGTTCCACGAGTCTTGGCATATCTAGGCCCAACTGAGGAACTATAAACATATCATCACCATTAGAATAAAATGCTTGATGTGTAGTTGTTGACAATGTATTTTTTATTGATCGGTTAATTCAATATACTAATAATGCAAATCCATTTTGAGATGATTGTTGATTGGATCAATCTGATTTTGTTTAAAAATTGATAAATAATGTCCGGCATATGACAACCATTTTTTCAATGACGTAAAATAATAATTTGAAGTTTTCTTCTTTTTTATGTGTGAAACTACTTTTTGGAAATCATATATCAGACTTACACACGTCTGCAGTGTGCACATCTTGCCAAGTGATTTGTAGAGTGAAACTGAAAACAAAAATTAGTAAATATTAAACAAATGCTGTKTTGTTCAACCTTGAGCACATTTTGGTACCACCAGTAAGCACCTTCCCTTTCTTTTCACAATTGATTTGGAAGATCTGGGCAATCATAACAGCAGTTCAAGGAACTACAAGCAAATTTCAACAAAGGCAATTCAATGCTCATCATTTGAGCATTTGCATTCATTGAAATCAGGAAGAGCATGAGTTAATCTGAGATAGCTTACCAGTGGCACCGCTCTTCACCTTCTGCAGTAAAAACCCTATTTTTTAACTACCACGGCAATAAAAATTTAAATATCTCATATTAAAGATAGTTACATGGCAATAAACAATATTGATAATGTTAAACAATGGTCGTGATAATTATTTCATTATATGTGGTAGGTTTAGCTCCTCTTGCCACAAAAAGATTGCAACAAGAACATTCAAAACATGCACAAAATAACATTTAAAAATATAATATTAAACTTACCACAAAAATTTCATTGCAGTGTCCACATGTCACCCTAAACCTTCCTCTGATTCCTGGAACTGTTGCTGCAGATGGTCCTCCTGGTCCTCTTGGAGTAAGGTTGATTATTCTCTTGCTAAATAAAACAATAATGAACTTTAAGCTGTCCATAACAATAGATATTAACAATAATTTTGAGCTTTGGGCCAGGTACAAGACCCCTTATGACTCACACACAGTTACTTTTACTCATTCTTATTTTCCTATTTTTTATCATTTATCAGATGTGATTCAGATGTAGATGTAGATTTAGCTATTGCAAGACAACATAGTCACTTATTGGATAACAATACATACTATCATTAACCCTCCATTCACCTTTAGAGTGCACGCCAAAAAAGCAAGAAACAATTCTTAACTATCAACATCTAATAAGATTTAGTATAAACATATTAACGGTCTATCACTCATACTGCGCTGTGATTGGCTACTCTACTAATGGTCTAATTTGTGATAGACCACTCACGGGAAAATCAAAATGGCAGCATCTCATTAATAAATTATTTTAAGGATATTTCAATTTGTTTTCATTATTTGACCGATTAGTATGTTTATACTAAAACAATTAGACCTCTCGGCCTCGTGCACTACGAGCTAATATCCCATTCGGACTCACAGACTCGGCCTCATGGGCTATTACATGTAGCTCGTAGTCCACTCGACCTTGAGGTCTAATTGTTAATTAGTTATCAACTAACTACATGTTAGAATTCACTGGAGCATGAACACAATGCCAGAAAGGAAAATTGTCTTTGTTCATGCCCCAGTGAATTCTTAGCTAGTTGATAACTAAATCTTATTAGGCGCTAATTACTTGAGAATTGTTTCATGCTTATGTTGCGTGCACTCTACTTACCAATTGGGTCTTGGACAAGAAATTCTTGTTGATGTTACTTTGCAAGTTAGTAAAGCATTACAGGGACAGCGTATATACTTTTTCCCAGATGGAGGTGGTTTGATTGGCTAATGGAAAAAAATAACAATATTTAACATGGATATTTTTGTGTAATCTTTTGTGTGGAGGCTTTTGGCAGTGAAAACATGATAAAATGGAGGAATTTGATGACTAGTAGACTTTCAGTACAATATTGTAATAGGTAACAAGAACAATTAATTAAGAATAATTAATTATTTCGGGGCAACACCTYRCATGGGACCTCATGTCTCGTTCATGCTGCCCCCTTTGGGCCAATAGACTWTATTTGTTTATTTATTTATTTGTTCTTCACATTGTTCATATTGTCATTAGTCTATTCCCAATAAAGTYGTCAAAAAAAAAGAACACTATAATTTGACTGTTAATATCTCTGCATGATTTTATTAATTTATATTTGGCTGTTTTTATCAAATTAGTCAATACTTACTGTTGCCTCTTGACAATTTGCACATTTGACAACTCTTTGCTGCTCACGACCACGTATGTAAATAATCTGTTGACAGACTCTGCATATGACTGAGGGTTCAGCACTTCCTGTATAGGCTATTGGTGGGGTGTACGGTGGAGGCTGCTCAGAGTATGCAGGCGGTGGTGAGTTTGGAGGGGAATCTAATGGAAAACAACAATGTACTTGTAAATGAAAATTTACATCAGTCAACTCATGTGAATACTTTTACGACTCTCCATCGACTTAAGGGGAAAACTTACAACACTTTAAGTCTCAAGTTACAAGCTTATCTATACAGGACTAGTAGGGAATAAATTTACAGTCCCGCAATCATGACATTTACAGTCACATCCTAATGTACCAATGTCGATATATACTATTGAAATAGAGATAAAAATACAAATTTAAACGCAAAAACAATAAAAATAATACAGATATCTTTCGCTAAACCTGAACTAAAAGTTGACTACATTAAAATTAGACTGAGGCTTTGACAGCTTATCGTGACTRTGGTTTCGTCGCTTTTTTAAGGTACCTTGCGTGTTGTATCCAGAATTAAAGGCAGGTGGAGGTTCATTTCTTTGTTCTTCTTGGAGTAACGGTGCGTTTTCGCTAGTATCAAACTCAGGAGCCGTAGGAGTTACAGGAACTTGGCTCCCTGTATCGGCCATTTTGATTGCGGAAGATGCATTGAACAAATAGCTGATAATCACGTGAGAGAACTTCTTGGGGGCATGACGTCATAGCATATCTGTAGCACAGGCAGTCCATCCATTATACAGAGCTACTTTTCGAGAAGCGAGAGAAATTTTTCTCTCGCTTCTCGGCGGGTGAGAAAAGTAGCTCAGTTCGCAGAGTACCATTATCCTATACATACATTTTAATTTCAATTCAAAATTAAATCATGCCAAATTGCATAAAAAATCGAAAAATAGACGGGAAAGACGGACGGGRAAAGTATACTTGTAACAATGCGCGCACTTCTTAAATTATGAYTTCTTGTGTCAAGATCCCCTCACGATCAGCACTGACTTTCTCCATAATGCTTTCTCTAATTTGCACTAATTCATATACTAGTAAGTCCGAGCTATAAACTGAAGGAACTTTCTTTGATTAAGGTTCTCATCATACCTTAGTCATGAGAACTGGTGATCTCTTTTTACTTAAGGTTAAAATTTGGTTTTAGACCTGGCCTTGCATGCATTGTCGATCGCCGGCCGACTCTGACAATGACGTCACAGCAGTTTGGCATTACCCAGAAAACATTGCAATCCATGTAACGCCGTGATTACCTTGTACATGTAGTTTTGGTCTTGGCTGAATTACTGTTTAGAATCTGGGCCATCTTTGGCCATCCTCTATTGAAAACTATATCGCATTTAAAAAATCGAAAATATGAGTGGTCCYGCTACTCCGTATATAGGTAGTACAATTAGTTTGATTTCAAATGCAGGAATACGGTATGAAGGTACTTTATTCTGCATTGACACGAAGGAATCAACTGTGACGCTTGCCACAGGTAAAATTCAAGTTTTGCTTTCACAGCCGTCATATTTATTGTTATTTCATAATGTGTTATCTCTTCTGTGTTTCTTTAGTTCAGTCTTTCGGGACTGAAAACCGTCCTGTCGAAAAGCAAGTGGCTGCTCGTCCAGACGTTTACGAGTACATCGTATTTCGTGGCAAAGATATCAAAGATTTGACTGTTAAAAAAGAACCACCCAAGCCGCAAGTTCAGGACCCAGCCATAATCAAGGTAAACTTATTAACTTGCAAGTGTGCAAGCGTGAGATGTATTTTCCRGAGGCTTGTTTAAAGTATATTGTGTTGAATTACTTGAATTAAAACTGATTAATCAATAACTGACAAGTGTTTGAATATTTCGTTAGTGGTGTAATATTGCTAARGTTATTTCATAGTTTTGCATTTGCACACACTACACTAAATTTCCGATTTTGTGTCAAACATTCCACTTYAAAGATGGTACATGGTGTTGTAATTCATGAGAGCCCATCATGCCCTCCCCTCCCTCTTTGGGCCTTTGCATGCATTCATTTTTTTAGTGAAATGAAAGACAGCGAGTACCTTAGCCTGCAGGATATTATAAGCTTTTCTTGACAATTTAAACTCTCTCTATGAAATGGTTTTCACAATATACAGTTGTAAAAACTGTGTTTTTRAGAGAGAATGTATCTAGGTTAAGCGCTTTAAAGGAAATCATCTCTGACCAAGAGAAAATGGCACCAAATCAGAAACAAACATTGAAAGAATGTGATACAACATTTAAGCTTCCTTTGAAAAGTGGAGTGTCTCATATACAATAGTTTTTGTGACATATAGTTTTGAAAATCAAGAAACTTGATAACTAAACACATTAAATAAAGGAAGTTGGTTTATTATCATATTTGTTTGTAGTCTGCAGCAGTTGGCAGTAGTCCTGGTTTGACACCATATTCAACACCTTATCAGACACCAGGAGTTTTCAGCCCATTTGGAGGATTACCATATAGTAATTACCCYGTTGGTTATCAACCACCACAACATTTTCAGCAGGAGAACCGAATGCCACCAATGGCGCCTCACATGCATGGCAGYATTCCACAAACCTCCAATTTGTTACCACGAAATGCAACCCCTCCTATCCCAGGTCTTGGTCTATCAAGAAATAGCACCCCTTCTCCTGACTTGTTAAACCAGTCTGAGGTAAAAACACAGGAAACCCAGACAAAGACAACCACTCAACATGCAACCCAAACAACTAAAAAGAAAAGAAAGAACTCAGCTGATAAGACATTTGAAAAAGAAAATAAAAACCCAGAACAGTCTATTTCAGAGAAAAATGAGGAAAAGCCTCGACAAGATAGGAAAGCTGACACCAAGTCTAGAGGTATGAAAACATTGTATGTAAGAAACTTAAAAATTAGCAGTTAAAATGCTTGAACTTAAATGGCATCTCTCTTAAAGGCACAGTATTGTACTAGATGGTTTGTGCACCTCATCATAATTTCGTGTTACACGAAATCATTTTTCATCAATTTCCATAGTTTATTGGCTAAACTAACCAATTCAAAAAAAAAAACACCAAACTGTTTTTTAGCATCAATAGATTCTTTTTGTGCTGTGTAATAACTAGGGGATGTTTCAARTCATCAAAATATTATATTTTCACAAGAAATTGAACCAAGACSTTTGCATCCAGGCATAAATTTGTAGGAAATTATGATGATTTGTACATGATTGGCTTCACAGCTTATTTGATTTACATGTCAAACTATGCRTTTAGTACCTGAAACACATGAGTATTTGGTTACAATGTTGTTTTTTGATTGTCAAAATTATATAGTCTTGAACACAGACAACATTTTCTGTATAATGTAGCTTGTACAGACTGGTCTGAGTGTAATATTTAGCTGTAAAGATCATAAAGTAAGACTAATATTTCAATCTACACAGGAACTAATCGTAGAGGAAGAAGAGCTGGTTACCGTGGTTCAAGAAAAGAGTCRCAACCTAAAGAATTTGAAGATGACTATGATTTTGAAAGTGCTAATGCCAATTTTAAGAAGGAAGAAATTGAAGAGGAATTGCAAAAAAAACTTGGATTGGTATCACTTAATGATGAGGTATGTTTGACTGTGCACCTCTAGTAGTTATTTTTTGATAACATCCACTCCTGAGTTTTGTACCAGTTGTTGATCTTGATCAACCTCTTATCCCCACCATTCATTTTTCGAGGCCAGTGTTGAAAACATAAGACTCTGGGGAACAGGRATTTTTTGATTGGTTCTTGAAATAGAAACAAATGTTGCCAGAAGTGAAATTAAACCAAGGACATTTGAATTCATGTTTTATTTTGATGAATTATATTCATTAACTTATATTTTTGCTTTGAAATTAGTTAAGAAATTATGGTAGACAAGCTTAATAAAAGACATCAACCAAAACAAAAAACTTTTTATGCATTCTTTGTTATTATTGCCATGGAAACTTCTGATTAACATAAAGTTGTCATGAATTAAAACTTTCAAACCCAAGCACAACGTTTCCTTTGAACAAGACATAGCTTTCGCTGTGATGTTTTTTTAAGGGGAGAAGGTTTGTGTGATGGTTTTTTTTTTAATTTTCATTTGCAATAGTACCATTGTATGTTTCAGACCTAATATTTGTATTCCATGATCTTTGTTGATCACCAATTAAGCCTGGTCTCATTTTGACTTCATTTTTAGGTTGAAGTTGAAGGTGAGGAAAATCCAGCAGCACACAATCCTGAACCAGTGAGATACTATGACAAGGAAAGCTCTTTCTTTGACTCCATATCATGTGAGGCTAAAGACAGGGAGAAAAACAAAAGGTAGGTGACATCAGCTGGCTACTTACAGTCTTAATTTAGTCATCAATGTGGAAAAGAATGGTTTCAGAGTGAATATACCAAGCTCAATACAGTCAAAAACTTCAACTAAAGGCCATCAAGTTTAGAATTCTCTTAATAATGCATTGTGCACCTTTTTCTGAAATAGCTCTATATTGTAGAACGCACATAGCGCATAGCAGTCCCTAAGTAAATATAAGCATCATAGTGACATGCTATTTGCTCATCACACAAAAATGTTCTGTGAAATAATTGACCGAGTGTATTTCTTTGTTTTAAGGAGTCACCCTTCTTGGCAAGAAGAGAGAAAGCTTAACACTGAAACCTTTGGGACGTCTGGATTTCGCCGTGGCAGGGGAGGAAGAGGACGTGGTCGTGGTAACTTCAGAGGACGTGGAGGGGGTAGAGGAGGCTACCGTGGTCGTGGTTGGCGTGGTGGTAGAGGGTCTAGAGGAAGTAGCAGAGGAGGTCCACAGAAAGACTGGGTTGATTATCCATTGGATGCTGATACTTCAAAGTTGCAGCARAATCTACCAAGTGGAACAACTGTATGTATCAACTTATACTAGTAAACATAATGCAACTCATTCTTATTACCGTATTTACCCA